CCTGCCTTCTCCCTTTTGGGCTGAGAGTTCGCGGTGATGCTTGTTGTTTGCCTAACCGTAATTCCTGCCCGCTGCTGAGTGTCTACCGTGAGCCCTTTTATCTTCATTAGTGGCTTTTCCTTCGGCCTTTCCACGACGCACTGTCATTGGTGTCATGTCCCCATTTTTCAGTGGATGTTGTCAGATAGGTAGGATGGCTTGCCTGAGAGTGGCTGCCCTGAGGTGGAGGCAGTGATGGGAGGAAGCAGGGTGCGGGCTGCCCGGGAGCTGGTAATGAATGCCCGCCCGGCTTCCTGATTTGGATGCTGGTCCCACAGGGAGTTTGGTTTCTGAAAATTCACTGAGCTGTACTGGATGCTTAGGTGAACTTTTCTGTATGTATGTTATCCTGCAATAAAAAGTTAAAAATGTGCCCTAGCTGGTTTGGCTCAGTGGATACAGCGTCGGCCTGCGAACTGAAAGGTCCCAGGTTCGATTCCAGTCAAGGGCACATGCCCGGGTTGTGGGCTCGATCCCCAGTGGGGGACTTGTAGGAGGCAGCCGATCCATGATTCTCTTTCTTCATGGATGTTTCTATCTCTCTCTCCCTCTTCCTTCCTCTCTGAAATCAATAAAAATATATTAAAAAGTAAAAAATGCTGCCCTGGCCCAGTGGCTCAGGGCACATGCCCAGGTGGCAGGTTCGATCCCTAGTCGGGGTGCGTACAGAATGCAACCGATCAATGTTTCTCTCCCTCTCTCTCTCTGTCTGTCTGTCTGTCTCTCTCTCTCTCTCTCTCTCAACATATCCTCAGGTAAGAATTTTAAAAAAAGGTAAAAATGCTTTGCCCAAGGTTACACAAAAAAACGATGAAGCTAAGAGTGAACCCTTGCCTACATCACTGTTTCTTAAGGTGTAAGAGACCTTTCTGTCTGGTTACAAGGGATTAAAGGGCCCCAAACTGCACAATGAGAAAGCTGTCTCCGCTTCGCTCTCCGTCAGATTACATCACAGAGGGTCTCCACCACTTGCTGAAACACCGACCAAGCTTCCTTTCTAACAAGGGGAGGGGAGACTTCCGGCTTAAAACCGTAGTCAGCAATGCATCTAGCTACACTTGAATACTCTTGTTTTATTTTCATTACATTTAATTTTCCACGGTCACTTTCTGAGGCAGACATGGCCTCCTCAGTTTCCATTCCCACTTTCTGCCTTAGTAACAGAACCCTGATTTTTGTACCCAACTGAACAGACCTCGATTCCCAGCTTCCCTTGCAGTTAGATAGGCCAACTGGCTCATAAGTGCTTTCAGGAATGCTCCCCGGTTAAGAGGCACAAGGGCACTCTTTCATCCTCTTTCCTGATGCCTGCCTGATGGCTGGTGACTCAGCAGCCACTTTGGGCTATAAAACAGCCTTGATGATGGAGGGCCCACCATGAGGACAGCAGAGCAGAACGGGAGAAGGCGCCTGGGTTCCCAGTAGCACCTTGCAGCTAACAGATGAGCCTTGGATTGCCTTCTCCCATAACGAAGAAATAAATTATCTGTTTAAGACTCTTATTTCTGCTCTGTTCCTTGTAGTCAAATGCAATTCCTTACTGAAAAAACCTCCAAATTATGGCACATTATACTTCTTTTCCACTGACAGTGGTATACAGCTTAAAAATTTTAAATCAAAGTAAATGTAGCGCTTCAGACAACTAATGACATGAGATGTGAA